TCCAGAAAGCACATCGGACGAAGTGTCTGTCTGGTGGGTAACATACATTGTGTATAACAGAAAAAGTGTCAATAAATCGGGAGGTAAATATTTCTACAATATCTACACGTGTTGAAAGGTAGAAACTATTTTTTATTATTTGGAGAGCAGGAAAAGGCTTCTTTACAGGAAGACAGGAAATCCAGAAACCGTAAAAGGGGAGATCGACGAAGTTTGTTATGTAAAATTCCATGTGAACATCACAAGCAGTGTCAGTGTGTCGCATCCTGTCACACTTGTGAAGACCGCAGTGAGTGTGTAAAGAGCACCTACAGGGTGTAAGCAAGCAGACATCCCAGCAGACATGCCATCCAGACAGGTTCCCAGAGGTTGGGCGACAGCCCAGCACAGGTGCAGCATTGTCATCAGCCCTGGCTGTCTTGGAAAGGCAAAATAATAACTTACCAATGTCTTCTTTTTCTTTTTCCTTTGCTTTTGAGAGAAAGAGTTCTAAGACAGAGACAGAAAGCAAGAAATCACGCCTCCGGGGTTGGCCACGCTGCACTCCCTTCTCCCCCGTCCTTCTCTCCGGGATCTTGGGCAGGCACGTGTATGGCTTGAACTCGAAGCCTCTGGGTTCGGTACGGGAACTGCAGCTGGCCATGTGGGAGTCCAGCCATGGAACCATCACGCCATCTGCTGGCCCCTCGTTACCGTTTTCTGTTGGTAAGGCTGGCGAGGACCTTAGGTTGATCCTGCTCAGTGTTGAGTTGGTTGAAGGCTGGGGAGAAACCCACTCTAAGCTGGAAGTGGCGTATCAGTCGTCTTTAGGGACGCTGGCCAGGCAGAATTTCCGCGATTTTTAAGCACACTAGCCTTCTGCTCAGCAGTCACACCTCCAGGTGTCTGTCCAGCACAACGCCCAGATACATGCATGCCTGGGACACAGGGTGCACGGGGCAGAAGGGACTGCTTGTAAGTGCAAAAACCGAAACACGCACTACCCACTGATAGAGGGCTGACTGCGTGATACGTGACTATCCACAGGGAATCAAAGGTAGCATGTTTATGTATGTTACTGTGTGTGTGGATGTCCAGAGCAGTGATTCCCAACCAGGGGCAGTTATGCACCCCCACTTCTCAGGGACATATGGCCATCTGGTGACAGTTTGGCTGTCACATTAGGCTGAGGGGTGCTCACTGGCACCCCGTGGATAAGGGTACCTTATGGTGAGCGTCCCACAGTGTACCGGGCTGCCCGCCTTCCCCAGGAATTACCCCGCCCAGTCCCCGGGAGCGTTGGGAGTGCCGACACGGGAAGATCCAGTGAATACACACCCACGTGTGCCGTTAGGTCTAGGAAAGAAGGAACAGAACTGGGACTGTTTTTTTAACTATGTATACTTTTGTATCTACATGTTTTTAATGAAAATCTCTTTTGTACAAAGTGTTTAAGCAAAGGGCCCTGGGTTAGAGAGGCGGGGGGGGGGCAGAGTGGAAGACGGCGGCGGTTAACGAGTGAAGCTCGAGTCGAGAGAAATGCGGAAGGTACCCTGGCGAGGCGGGCGGAGAAGACACGTGTGCAGAGTGGGTGACGTGGGTCGAGGACTGGCGCCGTGTGTGTCTCGCGGGAGAAGGGAAGCCAGGAAGCCAGCCTGCCTGCCCGCGGGTTCTGGCAGGAGTTGGCAGATGAGAATGAAGTGGAGTGAGGAGCCAGGTGTCAGAATGCCGCTAAGAATCTGGGCATAGCTGGGCAGGAAGGGTCCGCCTGAGACCGCGGGGCGAGTGTGTGCTGGGCTTTGGTTCAGCCACTGACACCCGTGGTCCTTTGGGAGCACAGCACAGGACTGGACAGGAAGAGCAGCCCAGTCGGGGAGACAGAGGTGACGTTACGCTAACGTAGACCGCAGTCTGGATGGCCGGGTGGGGACAGGCGCTGTGACTCGGGGTGAGGGGCTACATTTAGGAATACTCCAAAGGAAGAGGCCTAGAGAGCGTGCAGCCCCTGGCACCTCGTCACTTTATGATTCTTATCTTTTATTTTGGACAGGTTTTTGCTACAGGGTGCATACGCTCGCCAGAAAGAGAGAGACAGAGAGACAGAAAGCGAGAAATCATCCCCTGAGGGGATGGCCACGCCGCAATCCCTTCTCCTCCATTCTCCTCTTGGGATCTTGAGCACGCACGCACATGCACCCGGCGTGAGTTTTAAGCCACTGGGTCCAGGACTCCAACTGCGGTCAGCTACATGGGAGTCCAGTGACATAGCCATTATGCCAACTGCTGGTCTCTCTTTTTTTGTTGGTTTTTTTTGTTGTTGTTGTTTTGCTATAGGGCACATGTGCTCGCTGGAAGGACAGAGAGACAGAAAGCGAGAAGTCACCCCCCTCCCCAGGGGACTGGCCATGCTGCAATCCCTTCTCCTCCATTCTCCCCTCAGGATTTTGAGCACGCACGCACATGCGCCCAGCATGAGTTTCAAGCCTCTGGGTCTGGGACTCGAACCACAGTCAGCCTTGTGGGAGTCCAGTGACATAACCACCACACCATCTGCTGGTCCCACTTTATGATTTCTTCATAGAGGCAACAATGGACTAGTTATAATTTTTTTTAAAAAAAGAACAAATGGGGAAGAATCTCTGAAGTTGAAAGACCATATCCTCGTTCCTTGTCTTAGGAATAAAATTTATTTAACCTTTCTAAGCTTCAGTCCCCCTCTCAGAAATGAGAATGATGAATTTACTTCACAGCTGCATAATAAGGATTCAGCATGAAGATGTTCAAGAGTGTTAGCAAAGTTTGTTGAAAACTGGAGTAAAATGCAAGGTGGTTGATTTGGTGCAAACATTTTTGAAATCTGTGCTCGTGGTCCCCACTGACCGGCAGGGGTGGGGAGATGGTTTATGAGAGTGTGCAACTGAAGTCCCTCGCATGCACAGTTCTCGATGGGGTCGCATTTCTACAAGAAGATAACGTCACCCCATCTGACAGGACAGGAGGCGGGGCTTGGCGGCAATGCCAGCCGTGGGAAAGGCTGTAAATGCAGAGGAAACTTGGCTTGCCCGCCTGCTGCCCACCCCAGCTGTGTGGCCCGTTTCTAATGTCCCTGGGTAGGAATGGTCTGTGGACAGGGTTTCGGGACCCCTGATCTATGAGTACTTTTTTCATAACTTGCGTTTTCCCTGAACTGTTTGAAGACCCTGCTCATACGGCACTGCCTGCATGTGTGAACCCAGCCACCAGGTGGCAGTGTGAGCCTCGGTCCTAACCGCAGTTTCTCCTGGGTCCCCGAGATGCTGGTGAGAGCCCGTGGGTCCTTCCTCTGCCTTCTCAGCCAGAGCCTTCGCAGCTTTTTTTCCCTGGACAGAAAATTAATTTTGGAGCCTTAGGCCAATCTAGTGTCATAAACCTTTTTAGATGCTCAGTTTTTTACTTTTATTTTTTATTTTATTTATTTTTTAGTTTTTTGCCAAGAGTACATGCGTAATTCACTGGAAAGAGACAGAGAGAGGGAAAGTGAGTTATCTCGGGGGGCATGGCCACACGGTGGTCTTTTTTCCTCCCTTCTCAGGATTTTGGACCCACACATACCCAGCTTGGTTTTCAAGCCACTGGGTCTGGGACTTGAACTGTGGTTGGTCATGTGGGAGTCCTGCACCTTAAATACCATGCTACCTGCTGACCCAAGAGGCTGAATTCTTTTTTTATTATTATTTTAGGAAATGATACCTGTGATTGACTTTTTAACAAATAATAATGCTTCTGTAGAAATCTGTTTTAGATTTTAGTAAACTTATTTCTCCTGCCTTCTTTTCCTTTTAAGTAGGAACAAATAACAGATGTATCGGGGCTTCCGGAAGGTTCATGAAGATGCATGTTAAGAAAACACGGCGCATGGGTTTTAGAGTTCTTTGCACCAAAATAGACTTGTTCTTTAATCCTGTGTTTCCACAATTCCGTGGAGTCCCTGCTCCACGGTGCCGGCACTGTACGAGAGGCACAGACCAGGAGGCAGGCAGCTGTTCATTTAATTTATTCCACATCCAGGACTGTGCTGCTCTGTGTGGGCACCCTGTCAGCCGTCACCCTGTCGCCTTGTCATGGGGCAATGAGAATGAACCGCCCCCTGTTGTCTGGCTGGGAGAGAACACATTTATATTTGTTTGGAGAGTGAGCAGAAGACTCAGTGCTCTGGGCTTTTAGCTTCGTTAGTTGCCTTTTCTCGTTAGAAAACAACAGCAGCCCTTCCTCTCAGGCAGCCTGAGCACACCGGGGTCAGAAGCCGAGGGGGAAGTCGGTGGGCAGCCCCTTTCTCACTCCTGTGGTTTCGCGGCTTCGCCAAAGATGGCCTCGGTAGACAGCGCGAGCATCTCTACGTAACCGCTTTGCCACCACGGTACTCCCTGCTGGTGGCCCTAACCGGTTACTGGGAGGCAGCCTCTGTGAAGCACTGGGCGGGCGCCTTTTCTCTTCATGGGAGAGGCGCTGGAAGAGCTGCAGAGCTGCCTGGGAACACGTGAATCTCTGAGATGGGGTGCCGGGTGCAGTCAGGAGACGGCCTGAGTCATACAGGACTGCCCCCCCCCCAACCAGCCCGTCAGGATGACCAACATTTTAAAGAAAGAACGTGAACGGGTTTTCAGCAGGTCAGGTCATCGAGGCTCATCTCACAGAGTAGTTGCGAGCGCGCTCCTTTCTTTGCCGAGGTTGGCCCGGCACTTCCCCCCGGGGCTGACAGTTCCCACAGGCGCCCGGGGTGACAGTTGTTGAAGTCGCGTCTGTAACGTGAGCTGGCTGTCCTGGTAGTGAGTGGACACGAGCTGGACACAGCCCCCGGGACAGGCTGGTGGCTCCCGGCTGTGAGGAGCCCAGAGAACGGCTCTCGGGTTTTCCCTCCTTCGTGCCAAGACCACGCCACGTCTTCCGCGCTGTCTGTGCTGAGGCTCATCAGGCCTTTCGAGCCAGTTCAAAAATCCTTCAAAAGGAGCGTTAGTTTTAAGGGAAAAAATTATAAAAATCAGCATCACAATCAGCTGTAAGAAAAAACCAGATTACATTTCGTATTTGAGTAAATTTTTATTGTTTTTTGTTCCCAATTTAGGACTGGTAACCTCTAGCTTTGTTACTGAGACTCTCTTATCCACCCACACGGCATTTCCGGTTTCCTGTGGTGGGGACCTCTCCCTCTCCTCGCTCCCGTCCACTCCCAGAGAGTCACTCCTTGACACTCAGTGACCCCGCGGCCGACCGACCGCGCCCCTGTGAAGCAGCACTCAGGAGAGCCCTGGGTCTTCTGCCAGCAAACCTCGTGGTTTTACTCCGTGACCTCAGCAAGGTCTCCCAGGGTGGCCAGCACCCGTTAGAAGGGTGACCTGCCCGCTCTGCCGGGTCCGCATCCTACCTGCGTCACCCTCCCCACGCACTTCCGTGTTTGCAGAGGGAGTATGTCGCTCGCTGTCAGACGGCGATGTCGACGGGAAAATGCTGTCCGTCCTGAAATACTCCTTCCTAATCGATGCTGCTTCTCCCCAAACCCCGCTTCGCCCAAAGGGAGCGTGTGGAGAACACCAGTCACCCCGGAGAGATGCAGGTCACCATTCAGAACCTGCTGCCAGCCACCGTGTACCTCTTCAGAGTCACGGCCCAGAACAAGCACGGCTCCGGAGAGAGTTCGGCTCCACTGCGAGTGGAGACACAGCCCGAGGGTAAGTCCCCTGTTCCCTGAACCCCCGCTGAGGGAGGGGACCTGCTGGAAGGTCTGCGTGCAGTTAGCCTGGCGTGTCACCCAGGCTCCAAGGATCTGACGGCTCGAGGTACAGATGACATCGGTTGCAAACCCGTTAGCGCTCAGCCACAGCACCGGCCGGCATGAGCACACAGGTCTGATCGGCTATGTTTGAGAAAAAACGAGAAATGAGAAAACGAGCTGGTTTCTTTTTTTTTTGGTTCATGTTTTTCTTTTTTTTAATCTCACATACATCCAGGTCCTGCTCGCCATTTTTCAGTAACTGCCCGACTCCTACAGAGAGGGCTCCAGAACAGGGCACTGGAGGTCCCCGCCCTGTGGCTCTGGTCGTCCCATCCGTGTGTCTCGCGCGTCGCTTCTGTGTTACAGCCACACTGAACCACACAGCACTGCCTCTGTCCTGCATCCTCCATCAGCCGGGTGGTTCTCTCCTGGTGTCTGAGACCGCTGTTCACTCCTCGCCCATGCAGTCCTCGCCAGCCCTGCCCTGCCCCGCCCCTCTCAGAGCAGAGTCATGTACTGGCTGCTTTCTGTTTTCATTCTGACCACGCACCGAACCCATGGGCACCCCCTGCTGTAGTCTGACCTCCTATAGACAGAGAGGCCTTTCGGGCAGGGGCTCGTCCGCCCCTGCATCCCCAGGCCGACCCACCATGCCTCTGGCTGGGGCCGGGCTCTCCTCGTG